ATTATTATTATTATTATTATTATTATTATTATTATTATTATTTATTATTATTATTATTATTATTGCTATTGTTGTTGCTTTTGTTATTATGTCTGGGTTTTAGTCGCTTCTTCGTTGCATGTTGTTCCTGTTTTTGCCCCTGTTCTGGTTGTTGGCTTGTGCTTTTGCCGCACTGCGTGTCGGCTCATTAAAAGAGACGCAGCAACGCAGTTCGTTGCATGTCCCTTCTTCTGACGGCAGGAAAAGCACTGCAGAGCGCCGCGTTTCTGTGCTCGTTGCATGCATGCGCATTGTGCATGCCACAGTTTGTGAGCACATGCGTACGTGCATGCCTTGCAGGGTTTCGAGTTGCTACCGCCATGTTGGGGATTGCCTTGGGCAGTACTGCATCGAGTTTGAAAAGGAGGATACAGCAGCAACGACGCCTAGCGAGGGGGAGAGGAAGGAAGGAGGAACTGCGCATACTGCAACACTGGACACTCACCAGAACAGCAAAGCTTGTGCAGCTGCTCTAGTGAACGCGTGCCTCGCGAGCAGCGATGAAAAACTGCATACCTATGTTGTAGATTGGATCGCTAGTCATGGAGGCAGTGAGGCAGAAGCAGCACCTAAGAAGACGCAGTTGCAAAGAGCATGCCTTGCACTTCATGCACAGTTGCTACTCGCCGTGTTTAATGTAGTTTTGTTTCATTTTTAGTTGATTTGACTTCATTGTTAGAAGCTTCTGTTCGAGAGGATGTTGCAAGCGACATGAACAAAGCCGCTGTCTTTGTTTTAGTAGCTGCTGCAGCACGTGTTGAGTTGCGCTTGTTTTTGCAGAGAACTTTCCTGTGGCTCTTCTGCACATTGACGGCCCGATGGCCGATCGTCTTCTCGCGCAGAGCGACGCGGAGTTTGCGGTGGATTTGGGAGATCGTTATGCAGCTTCTGGGCTGTATGCGCAGGTAAAGATGGACAAACAACGTTATCGTCTGTGCACTTGATTGTCTGTTTCTATTGTCTGTTTCTGTTGTTTGTGCAGCGGTGTCACTTTGGATGCTTGGGCGTATATGGGTTGCGCTTTCCTCCTGCGGCGGCGGCGTACCCTTTAGTTCAGCTTTACTCATCGTTTTTACGGATATAATAGATCTTGTGTTCGTTTCTTATCTTCATCCTGTGGGCGTCATGCATATTTGTTCCTTCACCCTGTTTGTTTGTTTTCTTGCGCCTGCAGGCTGCCAAGTGCCACAGTCGGCAGGGCCTACGTCAGTGGGCATGCGAGAGAAGCGGAGTTGCTGTTCAAGATTCTTCGGCTCCTCGCGGCGCCGTTGAGGGCGGCGAATCAGCGGAAGACGTAACGACATTGTTGGCTTTTGATGCGGAAACCGATGCCTTCTGCTGTAGCCTCACACAGCCGATTTGGCAGTTTCTAACGGTCTGGGTGAAGACGCAGGCACAGGAGCCCTCTTTAAATCGACGACTTCTGCACTTCGTTAAGGCGAAGGAAAATGCACAGAACTTCCTTCAGCAATCCGCTGGACAGCACGAGCCGGGAGTCCTCAACATGGCTTCAAAAGAACAAGCAGGCGCTTCTCGTGAGACGAGTACGTCTTCGCAGCAGCATGTTTTACAATTAAGGCGTTTAATTTTATATTTTTCGGTTGCAGCTAGTATGATGTCTACAAACGGTTGCTACGATCGCGTGCGTGCATTGAGAGGAGCAAGAAATCAGCCACTTTGCTGAAGATGTTTTGTTGCATGCAGCGAGACGATTTTCCCTTTCTGGCGATCCGAGTGATTTGGCTTTTGATGAATCGGCTGATGGCACTCCACCGACACCTGTTGAAAACTCCATAAGACAAATCGACCTCAACATCCGAATGGTAAGACGCAAAGGATTGTCTAGGGTAGTATATCGTCAGAGGCTGCAAAAGATGGTGGGGTTTTCGCCTGTTGGGTTTCTCTGAGTTGCTTAATGGAAGGAAGCAGGTAGTGGGTGTATTATGCATAAGGCAGGAGCTCTTTTTGCTGCAGGGAAAGACAAAGAAGGCTGCCAGCGACATTGCTTTCAGTGGAGTATTGTGTTTATGCTTCAAGGCAGATAGCTGTTTGCATTGCAAGCAATGCGCATGCATTTCTTCCTTTTTGACGTTTCGTCGGATAGATCGTCATCTGTGGTGTACGTACATGCGTGTTTGTCTGCTCCGATGTTCGCTGCAGGTCGGCCTGCAGCGGGCCCTTGTCCGCGATACCGCTCATTTGTTTTGTGTGTTGGCAGTAACGCACTTGCAGTCAGTTAAAAGAGAGCGGGCTCTGCTATCGGGCGTTGTATCGTCTTCAGTTGCCCAGCAATCCATTGAAGCAGACGAAATCGCAGCGTTTTGCGACCAAGTTTCAACGGCGGTTTCGGGACCTTCAGATAAATCTACGAAGCAAAATAACAGCCCCTTGGTAAGCTGCAGACAGACAGAGCTGAAACTTGTTGAACGGAATCGAGTGCCTATTCTTGCTGCTGCCGCTCTTGCTGCTGTTTGCTGTGTTTGTTGCTCCGCTGCCCCTATTATTTTCAGTTCCATTTTTGTTCGCATTCGTCGTGTTTGGTAGCTGCCTGCGACTCTGATCATCATTGGCACTTCATGATTATATGAACTGCATTTCTGTACAAAGGGCTAAAGAGTAGAGACGTTTAAAATGTAAACACGGTTGAGGCGTTTTTGTCTGCAGGATGGGTGTCGTTCTCTGCTCGCGCTGCTGCTAGATCTGCAGCGGGTGGTGTATGCACCCTTAGAGCTTCTGGATTTGTTGAACTCGCACATTAATGAAAATGCTGTGGCTGAACTTGTTGGTCCCCATTTCCCCTCGATCGCGGCGCTTCGACTGTATGGACAGCGCGTCAATACTGCGGCTGCTCGTGGATTAGCAGCATTTGCAGAAGAGGAAGAAACTGCGCGCGCTGCTCTCGATGATGCATGCATGGCTTTCCTCTCCTTCAGCGCTTCCGCTTCAAAGGTGCTGCAGCAACCGAGGATCGTCTCTGACGCTGTGAGCATTATTTAAATGGTGGATTTAACGCACAATATGACAAATATCATGTATATATATAAATACATCATATTCGTTGTAGTGTACTCATATTTTTATTCACTACCCCTTGAATACAGACAGCAGAATACTCCTATAATATATCTACATATATATATATATGACATAGATGAGGATATTATAATTGTGTTCCGCATTGCGTTGCTGCGCTATTTCAGCTGAAGGATCTGATGGCGTTGCCGGACGTTTCAGTCCGCGATAGCTGCAGCCGATCTCTGAAGCGACTTTCCGTAGTTTTACACGTTTACTCACTCACGCAATGGGGGAACACGAAGGAGGTTACTATGATAAATGCAGAAGGAGAGGATGTGCAGATTCCAGTCTTTCTTTGGCCGGCTTGGCGCCTGGCGGAGTGCGGGCAATCATTTGACTGTTTAGTCGGCCTTTATTCGTCTTTCGAAGAGGTAATTTGATGCTCGGCTGATGATTGGTGTATGTACGCACAGGTTAACGTCAGAAAATAAAAGAAATGAATATGCTGAGAAGGAGGACGCTACTCTCCATCCGATTGTTTCCTGTCTGTATCTGTTGCGGCGTATTTTTTCTCTTCGTTCGTTCGCAGTGTCTTTTCTTTACCTTGTTTATGTCACGAATTGCAATATATTTCGTGCTGTGTTCCTGCTTTCTTTCTTTAGGATGAGCTTGCGAAGCAGCAGAGTCGGTTGGCCTCGACGGATATTCAAACGATCTTCTGCTGGATATTCGATCAGTGGCTGACGAGCCAAGACGACGTCTCAGGCGCTTCCACTTCCACTTACGTTGGCCTTCTTCATCGATTAACAGAAGATGGAGATCTGCCGTACTTTGGCTCCCCAGTTAGCGTCCCGCTGTGGTCTCAGGTGGGCTGCTAGATATATTTATCAATGCAGAAACATTAAAATGTGCTTGAATGCATATATGCATTTGTATAAATGTTATATGCATTAATACATGTACGGGTGTTGCCATTGGCTTCCACGCTCAGAGAGAAGAAACAGCACGTAAGACATGATCTGCACTTCAGGGAGGAAGTGGTATGGAAGGTGTGGTGATGCGCTTAAGATGCAGGACAAAGAAAAAGGTTATGTGTGGCTTAGGTGCTGCTGTTCTTGTCCTTGTACTGCTGATGTTTTGTTTGCTTTATGCAGCTGAATGAAGAGGAGCGCGCGAGAGCAGATGTTGCTGCACAGCAGTTGACAGATATGCTGCTGCAAATTGAATTGGCTATGACGCATGCAAGTCGCTGCATGGGGGGTCTGAAAGACAACCGGCACTTTGTCGGAGTGCATTCTCGCTTGGCCATTATAAAGCAGCAAGTCGCCGAGTACAGAGCAGCACTCCATAAGCAAGCACTCACAGAACGATTCCCCCCTACTTTCTAAGGCAAAGGCTGGTAGAGGCAGCTACAGTTAGCTGCTTGCTACGCACGAATCAGCGACTAAGTATATATATATATATATGTATATATATATATATATACGTATATATATTCATTGAACGCGCGAAGACAGCGACGACAAGAACAGAATTAAAGGGAGATGGCCAAAGGATCTCATGCACTATTGGCGATTTGTATCCGTGTACACCTCATCTGTATGAGGTGTTACTGGCCCTGATGATGCACGAAAGCAACAGTTGCCGTAGTTGCCTCATCGCACAAATCAATCGAAACATAATTCCAACTCATCATTACGCAGATGATGCGTCGTCTGCTGAGTGAGATAAGAACAACT